GATTCATATGACGATGAACTAACTCCAACAGTCATCATCGGGCTGCGGATTGCCTACGTGTTTTTCATCGAAAGAAAGTATGATATGAAATTTATAACTTTTCGTGATCGAGTCTGGGAATGCAGAGACATTTTCAAAATACCCAATGTTTTTAATTGTATTTATGATCATCTAATCCAACCCGATCAACAGCTCTTTGTGTTTATTCATATTGACGAGTTTCAGCTCATCGATCGGTGGGAGTGTGACGCAGTTAACGAAAGGAAAATGCCAGCAAAACAGCTATTTAAGGAAATGATCAATGGCCTTGCATCGTTCATGCTTGGTCCACCCTCCCGTATTTATGTTCAGACATTTCTTTCTGGAACTGCACCACAAGTTGTTATCTCTGCGAAAGAATCATCAAGTGTTTCATTTGGATTCATCAATTGCCCACAACTGTCATTCAGAGCACTGCTTAATATTACAAATCATTATGCACAAAAATACCATGCAGAAAAATTCGGCTGTGGTACGTACAAATGGATGCTTTGTCGACCATTTCTCCAACTTTTGGAAGATACTGGAGGATTGCCTCGCGCACTTCAGTACATCTTTGATGTGTGCTTTGAAATCGAAGTCGATGGAAAAAAATTCTTCGATGATATTTATCAACAGCACTTTAATACCATCTTTTATAATGTCAAACACCATCTCCAAGAACGCTACAACATATACGAAACCATCTCCAAGAATGAAAAACTTGCTTTAGAGCTTCTTTTTCACAGTATTGATGCAATTCCTGTTCATCGCAAGGCATGCCTGGATCCAAGCGATCAAGACTGTACGATCGAAAGCCTCGAGCGTGACGCACATATAATTCTCAATCCCTGCAATGCCACTTCCTCTGAATTTACCATCAAGATGCCTTTCTTTTTTATCTGCTTATACAATGATAAATTAAAAATCATAGACTTCAATCTTGAAGCGACACTCCGGGTGCAAAACACTATGCATTGGCATGATTGGGAACTTTTTGTGGCATACTATGAGGCATTCCGCACCAACTTGCTAGTAAAACGTGGAAAGCATACAGTACGTCTAGGGGAGTTATATCGTGGCGTCTATGGGACCGAATTGGTCAAGAATTTTGAGGTTAGGCTAAAGAGACTTTCTGTCCGCCAAGCACAAGAGCAATTCCCATGTTCAAAGTTAACAGAAAAAGATTCTTCAAAGTCCATTCCCTGGGAAGAAGGCAAAGATGTGATTATTAATGGTGTGTCTGCTAAATGGGGAGATTCATTCAGAATTTTGGAAGCGGTTCAAGGTGATCGTTTCTTAAGTATTCACCAAACCAAATATGACTATAACTCGGCCACATACACTTTAAAAGATCTTCTCAATGAACACATTAAGAATTGTGAGAGTCCCACTTTTAATACCACAAACCAGCTTTTCGATAAACTTGTTGATTACCGTCACATAACGATTGTTTTCACAACACAACCATTTTATGAAATAGGTCCATATGACGATTCCTTTATTATTTCGTGTAACAATTTCGAACAATACTTTGGTCCTGTGTTTTCTTCTCGTGCTACATTTGCCTTGACAAAAAACATCAATCCTAACTTTTCAGAACTACAAAGGATGGTGGAATGTCTTCCCGGGGTTGGTGATATTACTGCTGATAACATTATTATAAATCGGCCATATAAAAGTGAGGATGACTTCTTTAAAACGCATAATCGGGCTAAACGAGGAAAAGAGAAGCATGAGCATGAGAATCCCGGAAAAAAACTCAAACTTGACTTCTACCCATTTAATGTGTAAAAATAAGGAAGTCTGCGCTCAACGTGGATAAATTTTTTATCAATTATCAAAGTGCAATCTACAATATCAATAGTATAAGAAGTAGCAGGATTTCAAGGGAGGAATTTGCCGAGCTCTAACCCATATAATGGCAGTTCCTTCACTGCTACTCCGTATTGTTATCTAAATTATAACATATCATCTAACGAATAATTGTTTTCTGCCCTAATCTATCAAAAATAATTTGATTTGATTTCGGATTGTTCCTATCCCAAGTTTAAGAATATCA